GATAAATCTTTTGTTTTGGTTAAAATTTACAAGCTAATATTTAGTATCTAGCTCTCAAACAACATACTTACTTAGTTACTTACGCCTATTACTCCTCGTGAAGGAGCATCGGCCGCTCACCACCATTCTCCATCAAACCCTGTCCTGAGCAATCCTTTCCAGCTCCTTTCCAGTTGTTATTCATCGTTTTCATATCTGCTTCTATTATCCGATGTAATGTGTACTTTGGCCTTCCACTTTTCCGCTTCCCTTCAGGATTCCAAGTTAGGACTTGCCTCGTGATGCAGTTTGATGATTTGCGTAATGTATGTTCTATCCATTTCCATCGTCTTTTCTTAATTTCTTCTTCAGCTGGAATCTGTTTTTTTCTCTCCCACAGAAGGCTGTTACTGATGGTATCCGGCCAATGGATGTTGAGTATCTTGCGTAAACAACCCTTTATAAATACTTGCACCTTCTTGATGGTGGTTGTCTTACTTCTCCAAGTTTCAGCTCCGTACAGTAGAACTGCCTTGACGTTCGTATTGAAGATTCTGACTTTGATATTGGTTGAAAGTTGTATGCTGAGGCCTACTGATGCAGAGACTGCTGCTACACTGGTTGTCTTCGTCTTCATCTGTTCGTGTGTATACGATAGGAGGGCTAGGTCATCTGCGAAGTCCAAATCGTCTAATTGATTCTCAGCTGTCCATTGTATTCCGTGTTTTACTTCAGATGTCGAGGTCTTCATAATCCAGTCGACCACTAGAAGAAAGGGAAGGGAGCGCGTAAACAGCCTTGTCTGACTCCGATCCTTACTTGGAATGCATCTGTCAGCTGTCCTCCATGCACGACTTTGCATTGTAGTCCGTCGTATGAGTTCCGGATAGTGTTGACAATCTTCTCAGGAACTCCGTAGTGTCGAAGAAATTTCCATAATGTCCTCCTATCTACACTGTCAAATGCCTTTTCATAATCAATGAAGTTGATGTATAGTGTTGAGTTCCACTCAAATGATTGTTCGACGATGATCCGTAGTGTCGCAATTTGGTCTGTGCACGACCGATCCCTACGAAATCCAGCTTGTTGATCTCGAAGTTGGGCGTCTACCGCGTCTTTCATCCGGTTTAGAAACACTCTGTTCAGGACTTTCCCTCGTTTTGACAGTAGTGTAATGCCACTGTGGTTTTCACATTTGCACAGATCTCGTTTCTTTGAAATCTTGATGAGGTGTCCTTCTTTCCAGTGCATTGGCATTTGTTCCTCCTCCCAAATCTTTTTGGATAGAAGGCAAAGCATGTTTGTAGTTACTTTGATGTCTGACTTCACTGCTCCAGCTGGTATATTGTCGGGTCCTGCTGCTTTCTTGCTCTTCATTTGTCTGATGGCCATTCTGATTTCTCCCGTCGTTCGTGGATCGACATCTGTAGGAAGATCTGTGTGCGCTAACTCGATGTCCAGTGGATTCATTGGAGCCGGCCTGTTCAGGAGTTCCTTGAAGTATTCTACCCATCTGTTCCTCCGTTGTAGAATTTCAGTAATTGGATTGCATTCTTTGTCCTTGACCGGTCTCTCTGGTTTACTATATTTCCCTGCTAGTTTCTTCGTTGTATTTTAAAGCTGTTTCATATTTCCTTCTCTTGCAGCATTTTGCTCTGTCGTATTTCTGCTTGTCGGCTTTAATGCTCTTCTTCACTTGCTTGTTTGCTTCTATGTATTCAGCTTGTGCTTCGATTTTCTCTGCTCGTGTTCGGCTGTTGTTAATTACTGTCTTCTTGTCCTTCCTTTCTTTGATCTTGTCCAGTGTTTCTATAGAGATCCATTCCTTATGATGATGTTTCTTGAGGCCCAGAACCTCGTGACACGTTGAAGTTAATGCTTCTTTGATACCTTTTTAGTTGTTCTTCATAGTAGTTCTTCTTCTTTCAGAAGATCTTGTAAGGCTTGAAACCTGTTGTTGAGAGTTATCTTGAATTCGTTGAATTCGCCAATATCTCGAAGGAAGGATATATTGAACCTTTGTATTGCTGTTTGTCCACTTGTCCAGTTCCTTTTTAGCTTCAGTTTTAAATTGGCCACAACTAGGTGGTGATCTGAGGCTATGTCAGCTCCCTTCCTGGTTCTCACATCTATTGTCTTTCGGAACTTTTTATTGTTGCAAATGTGATCTATCTGGTTCTCTGTAGTGTGTTCCGGTGAGATCCATGTAGCTTTCGTATACGTTTGTGTGGAAATATTGTGCCTCCTATGACCAATATGTTGAATGCACATAAATTTGCAAATCTTTCTCCATTTTCGTTTCTCTGTCCCAGTCCATGTCGTCCCATGATATCTTCATATCCGGTGTTTTCTATCCCGACTTTGGCATTTAGATCTCCCATCACAATGGTGAGGTACATTTTTGAGCACTTCTCTATGATTGACAGCCGCCTCTCATAAAATTGATCTTTAATGTCGTCGTTGCTATCATTGGTGGGTGCATAACATTGAATAATATTCATTAAGATCCCCTCCTTCTTTGTTTCGAATGCTGCTTTGATGATTCTGGATCCGTGAGATTCTTATCCTACAAGTGCATTTCGTGCTACTTTGGACAGCATAAGAGCGACTCCCTGAGTGTGTGGAGCATTGTCCTCTTCGTGACCGGAGTATAGCAGCATCTCTCCCGTAGCTAGCCTTTTCCGTCCAGCTTGGGTCCAGTGGGTTTCGCTGATTCCCAGTACTGCTAAGTTGTATCTCCTCATTTCCATTGATATTTGACTGGTCTTCCCGGTTTCCCACATTGTTCGAACGTTCCATGTACCTACAAAAATTTTTGCTCTGGTTGTTAGAAGGGGCATCGGACTCGTGGCTTCCGAAGTAACTCGGCTTTCACCATGAAGCGTCATAATTCTTCTAAATGAAGACCTTCTAACTCCTAGAGCAGAGTTAAAATGGTTTGGATTATTTTTTCTGGTAAGCGTTTTTTTAGCGAGTTAGTTTTCTACGGGATGGGGACGCTAACCCCATACCCAACCCTCCTCCTTTACCCGGGCTTGAGACCGGCAATAACTCTAAAAGATCTACAGGCGGAGTTCTAAAACAACATAGTAGTTGTATTTCTGAAACCATACTTTTCGAAGTTAACTTCACATTTTTCATGAGACACTAGTCTGACTAGTCTGAAAAAGGAAATACTATGTTCTTAATTTACTTATTTATACCTGTTACTCCTTGTGGAGGAGCACAGACCAACCACCAGCACTCTCTATCAAAACCTGTCCTGGGCAATCCTTTCCAGCTCCTTCCAGTTCCTATTCATCCTTTCCATATCTGATTCTATTTCCCGACGTAGTGTGTTCTTTGGCCTTCCACCTTTCCGCTTCCCTTCAGGATTCCAAGTTAGGGCTTGCCTCGTGATGTAGTTTGATGATTCGCGTAATTTATATCCTATCCATTTCCATCATCTTCTAATTTCCTCTTCCAGTAGAACCTGGTTTGTTCTCTCCCACAGTAGGTTGTTGCTGATGGCATCCGGTCAATGGATGTTGAGTGTTCTAGACCTATACATTTATTCTCTAAAAACCTGATTTTAAAGACTAAAAAATGAAATAACTTTTATTACATGTCAAGAGTAGTCAATGCAACACTTCGATTAACATCATGTACTAAAGAGGATGTCATTGAAACTTATGAAAGTCAACTTCGTCACCTGATTCTTTAAAAAAATGAGTTTCACAGAAACCACATGTTTGATATTTTCACAACTTTAAACTATTTATTAGATTGATCCGTTTTCGTTCAAATCATGTTGAGTTACTGAATTGGATATTTTTAAGTGAGGTCTGGAATACGGAATAGTTAAAAATATTGACAATCAAATCAATATTAAGATCCCAACAATCTTCAACATTTAAACTCCGTATGGAAATGAACTCGAAAAACGTAAAAGACGTTTTTAGTTTATTCACTTACAGAAAATGAAGAATATGTTAATTTTTAAAAAATGCTAAAAGTATAACTTATCATGGTAGTTAAGTGATATGTGTTATATAAGTTGTTTTCTAGGTATTTTTAGAACTTATTGAGATCATGAACCAACCAATTTTAGACCACTATTGAAAATCTGAAAGCACTGGACGGTCGCTACGTACTGATGTGGGACTTTTTAGCAGTGGGCATCCATGATCCTGCATACAGTACTTGGATCCAGGACCTTTGATCTCACGCGAACGTTTCATCTGTAAACCATCAAACCGACATCTAATGGTGCTAATGTCTAATTTAGTGGCCCGTGGATCTAACTCCATGTAGATCGTACGAATGTTTGTTATCGCCTATTCTCGTATACAATTATCGACTTAAATCACGTTAGTCAATAACGGAATTTAGATAAGTCAACTAACGAGAATGGCCTTTGAATACATATATTTTATATGTAAAGTGAATGTAATAGAACAAAGCAAAATGACGCGCAGTGGAGATAGCTGGTAAGCTAACTCGTTTTTAGCCAGGCGTTACTCAATATTTATAGGCAGACAAAATAAACTATAGACATGTGATGAGACATGGGATATGAAGTGTACACACATATACGCTCATATAAAGGCAGTCAAGACTGATAAGCGAATAGACTGACAAGGTCAACACATATAACTCAAGTAGAATGAATAGATTGGGCTGTCCGAAAGTTAGAATAAAGTATATAACTGACACTACACTAACATCAACTACACGACTATCTTTTACTGACACGATTGAACTCTACTGATCACGACTTCTCATTAGAACTTCAAGAATTACCTCTTAAAGCCAGTCACTGATGAACGTATGATAAATATCATTATAAAGTTGATCTGTCCGTGATCTCAATAAAAACTCAACCATCTCCACAACTCTATATTGATTTTCAAAATTTTTAAAAAAATATATAAAAACATCAACTGATAAAAGATATTTTCATAAAACTTAATAGGTAACTATTATGTACTTAGTTTTTCCCATGGTAACATTAAAGACTAGACAATCAAAGAAAATAACAATCAATATTCAATGATATATTTATTAGCAAAAAAAGCATTATTAATCAATTACTTACTATTATTTTAACTAACTATATCACGTAGCAACTAATCGGAATACAAAAATGTACCTTATTTTTTACAAAAAAAGGAAATCACTATCTATATATGAAAAACATTGGCTAAACATCCACTCATCTAGTTTATATCATCTTATCTTAATGAAACTAAGAAAATAAATTTGTGTATCAAACGGTTATCATGAATTATAAAGACAAACAAAACAAAACAAAACAAAGTGTAACAATGAAATACACACTAATCATCATCATCATCCTCAGCGGCAGCAGTAGCAGCAGCAACAACAGCAACAGCATCGGTTTATGCAATAAAACCTGAGATAAACAACATTTATTCTTCTATTTTCATTTTATTTGAAACAGAATTTAACATTGAAGAAAGTAATTGTTCTTTAGATTTTTCCATAAATTGTTTACTAATCTATGAAAGTTTTAAAAGAAAAGAGAAGTAACAATTAATTAAATTCATTTTAATAGTTGAGATCATCAGTCACCATGGTAAACCTAGAAATCCTATTGTGAGACTTCTCAACAGTGCGAATCTACAATCTCACCTCCTGGGATTCGAACCCAGGACTTAAAGTGATTTTGTGGAGATTGCTATGGAGACTGATCTTAGTAAGATAACAATTAACTAACTGATTAAAACTATTGTTATTATTCATATTATGTAACCTAGTTTTAGGTGGAGTTTTGTTCTCTGAGCTGGATGGTTTGGTCGCGGAGTTTTCATCGTTCTTCTGAACGACATCATCAGCACAAACTTCAGATAGAAATGAAGTGTTCGAATTTCTCCACATGTGTTTCACAGCTTGTTCTGTGCACCGCGATGTTGATCGGTTCTTATTGACCTTAAATTTGTCATTGTTTACTCCACTTCTACCTGAAGTTTGTGCTGATGATGTCGTTCAGAAGAACAATGAAAGCTCCACGACAAAACCATTCAACTCAGAGAACAAGACTCCATCAAAATCATCCACCTGAGCTACAAATCTTCTCCATCATCTCATGTAATCTAGTATTATAATATTTCTATTTTTACAGCATCTTGATTATTTCTTGTCCACATTTCCTCAAAGAATTAGTACATTAACAAAACGTTTTCACATACATATATATATGATTGTACAGCTGGATAATAAATTCGTTGAAAGGAGATCCCTTCGTTGAACTTAGTGTTTTTAATGCTACAGTTCTGCTTATGATATAGTGATAATTTCATCTCTTTTCATCCTGGCTTAAACACGCATACATCAACGATTATATCTCCCCTTACTAGTGTAATTATAGATATTTTATTGAGAAGATTTATCAAACTTACTTTTATTCTGACATTTTATGCTTTTACTGTTTGTTTGTTTTGTCAAGCTTATACTACGAATTAGTTACGTTATGCCTATCGCTATTGTGAAGATGCTTTTAAGACAGTTGATCATCATAAATCAAGTATATTTAAATCAGTATCATATGAAAAAACCAATGATATAGATTACGGTAATTTCTGTTACTGTTCCGAGTTCTTTGATTTTGCTTTCCTTTATCTCATCGTATAACATGACTGTACAATATCCTATTCGACATCTATCGTTTCAAAACACTAGTGATGTCAAAACTACATCAGTTTCTTGGCGTTTCTAACTTCTTTTTATCCTGATTATTACGGATAACTCCGTATTTACAAGATTGAGGACTAATACAGTGCATTCACAGATAGCATTGCTGTACTCTAAAATGATTTCATCACTGATTATACACTAAGTGCTCATCATTTACTTCACATGATTAACATCACTATGACAAATGTTCAGTCAAAACAATCTATGAATCACGTCTTTTCAAATGATATACCGCTATTTCTTAAAAGATATTTCACCCTATTAGATTAGACCTGATCATGGCTGTGTGCATACTGTATATAATACTTATCATTGCAATAAACTAAACATTTCAATGGGAATCACTGGATTGTGATGATCCACTTTTCACTCGTTCTACATGATCTATATTTGATCTGAAGCACAGTCGTTAGTACTTATTGTTGAATATTGTGAAGGTAAAGTGGAATGTTTTTTAGCCTGAAGCTATTCCATCATATAAAACTATCGTGAACAAAACCGAATACACTTATCATTTAAACAAATACCAGTTCTTAGTTATACTCAGTTTGTTAAAGTCAGAACTCTATATTTCTTGTATCACGTAATTTTCCAAAGATTGTTTGCTATTCAATTGCAGTAATGCAGTAAACTCTCATCGAAGGACTAGGATTTTTGCGTCACAATTAAAATACTTTTAAAAAAGGATAAAAATTCATCATTACAAAGAACCTAAGAGAACTATAGTTTACTTTAAATGGCCATTTAGTTCATTCTTACTTGTTACGTAGGTACATTGAACCATATCTTCTAGTGATTCCCATGTTTACAATGTTTAAAAGTGAAATACGTTTGTTTTACCCATCGTCATTTACTCTGATTATTTACATGCACTTTGCTTAGAAGTGTTTATGACAAATTCAAAAAGATATAGTTTGATCAAAATGAAGAAGTTTATCTTATGCTGAATATTGTAATGATTACTATTTATTGTCATCCTGTGAAGCGGAAATCCTGCTTATGAATAGAAATTCTCTCTATTCCAAAGTGCATACCTATCTGTTTGCTTAACAGTTCAATGATTTTATATGAGTTATTTTTCTTGACGACAAATTAACATCACTATCTCAGTGTCTATTTTTAAATGTTGGACTAAATATTGCATTGGATCACATTAAGATACTAATCAGGTGAGTTGCTAACCGGTGTCTCCTTACAAACATATATATCGTCTTAGAGAAACTATACATTGGCACAATTCCATTTGTGGTTTCATGTTTGACTAAGAACTGTTAAGTCACATGTTTTAAATGCAAATCATTTACCTCAGTTTTGGTAATTACTTGTCCTCACATAACTTTTATATTTCAAACTACAATAAGTAAATCTATACTCACTTACTGTTTTATAATGACAATAAATATTCTAAAGAAAAAATTATAACTTACCAGTTTAGACAATTTTTGGTAGCTTTCATTAAGTGTATCCATCGCTTTGACAGTTTTGTTGAGTGAGTTAGTTAATGCGGTGATTTCTTCAGATTTTTCTGAAGAACCATTTTCTATGTTATACAAAGTCATAGCTCGTCTACGTGGTATCCATTTAAATTCATTTTCCTGTCAATATATAAGATATATATTTGTATTTATTACAAAATATAATAAAAAGGTAACAGATATGATCTTTTGTGAAAGAAAGTCATCCCAGATAACTAACAAGTAACTTACTGACTTAACAGTGTAGTATGAAAGAAGACCTAACGAGTTAGAAATGATATCAATTCAATATCGTTGTTGAAAGCATCAATACATGGACTATAAACATACTATTCACTATTTTATATGGGTTAAAAAACCTTGTTCTTGTATGTTGAACGGTAAATTTGATCATATTTTTTTTAAAACAAGTTAATGTATGACACAGGATTGTATTTATGTAAATGACAGATCAATGAGTAGAGCTTCGAATCGTTGAGCATTTGGTGAAGGGAATTAAATTGCCTCAATGAACTCTTTATCTTTAAAGGCAACAGGAAGAATTCGACATGTGTACCCCAATATACCGAAGCTGCTTTTATCGAAAATTTAATAGTTAAATTCATAAGTCGGTTAAATCTAGACCACGATGGAAAACATGGACGACCGTTTCGTTGTAATGGTGGTCTAGCTATAATCGACTCATGAATTCAATAATTAAATCACTACAATCTCCGTAAGACCCAACTTTACGATAATATTTAAAAGTATAAATAAATTAATGTATTTTTAAATATCCCAATAAGTAGACAAATTAGATTTTCTGACGTTTCGTAACTTAATGTAGGCTACTTCTTCAGAGAATAAACAACCAAATCAAAATTAATCCAAGTTCAGACAGTACAAATGGAACAAAACAAGAATATTTTGATTTGGTTATTTATTCTCTGAAGAACTAGCCTACATTAAGTTACGAAACGTCAGAAAATCTAATTTTTCTACTCATTGGGATATTACAAATATATTGATTTATTTATAACAATCTACCCAATGCTAAATTTATTCCAAATTATTAATTCTATCCTTGGTAATGATACCTATATTTAAAAGTAATTTGTTTATTGTTATTTATCTAGCTAATTATTTGATGAGTTAACGTTCCGCATAGTTACGTAATCATATATATATATATATATATATACTAGAACAACACATATAAACGAACAATTGTTTTCAATTCGATCGGCATCAGGCTTCACTCTAATATACATGAATATTTATACGAATATGTTAAACCAATCTAGGTAATATGGGTCAATGAAATGGAATAACATATATGAGCGAACAATATTGTTTTCGATTAGATCCTCATCAGGCTTTACTCTAATATACAGTAATATTTATATGCATATACGAATTATTAAACCAATCAAGGTAGTTTATAAGTCAATGAGTAACAATGAAAACGATTACATAATAAGTAAAATGTGAAAAGTACAAATTGATGGTGTGACAACAGGTGCATTAGTTTTGATAAGCAATAATAATAAAGGTTCAAACCAATGTTACATAGTGGGAAATAGGTCAGTGATTAGAAAAATATGGAAGCTGAGATAACAATTATAAAATTATAAGATGACGTAATAAGAAATGTTCAGATAATTGGACCATGAAACGTATAGTTGAGAGAAAATAAAGTGGTAGGAGGGGGTGAAGAAAAATAACAAACAAAGAGAAAGTTAGAAAAGGAATAAATAAGTAAATAAATTCATTTATTACTTAAGGCCAAGGGAGAGATAAGGGAGTTACAAATTTCTTCTGAGCACAAAGACTTGGCTTGTTGTCTCGGATTCCTATAGCTTCTGCTTCTTCGATTTCATATCTAAAGTGGAACACATAAATTTAAATGGGAAACGAATGATATCTTTAAATGTTGCTTCCCTGTTCACCAATGTACCGTTAACAGAGACTATCGATTTTGTGTGCCAACAACTGCAGGAAAAACAAATCAATATTGGAATTCCTGGGGTTAGTCTTAAAGAATTACTTTTAAAATGTACAATGAATGTCCATTTTGTCTTTAATAACACATATTATAGACAAATTGATGGTATTGAGATGGGTTCGCCACTAGGTCCCATCCTTACAGATTTTTTTCTGGCGAAACTAGAAAACGGACCTCTCAAGGAGGTTATCAATAAACTGGATTTCTACTGTCGTTACGTTGATGACACTTTCGTCATTGCCGATCAGAACATTAGAAAAGAACAACTACTGGAACTATTTTATAACAAACATCCTGCTATTAAATTTACATGTGAGGGGGAAATAGATAACAAATTAAATTTTCTGGACGTTTTGTTAAGTAGAAAAGAAAATGGTTCTATCAGCAGAGGTGTGTATAGGAAAAGTTCTTCTCCAAGCCAATACACACATTTTTTAAGCTTTGTGCCTCTTCATAATAAGAGAAACTTAGTCAAATGTCTTGCAAATAGAGCTCTTAATATATGCTCAGTCGACACAATTGATAGAGAATTACAACACATCCATAATAGTTTGACTGAATTAAGATATCCACTGGGGTTCCTGAAGAAACACTTCTGGGTACAAAGCAAGAAAATAGTGACTCTGACGGCTAATAAGAAACCGCTTTTCTTGAAGCTGCAATTCAATGGTGATGTAGCTAGCGATGTATTACGGGATAGATTGACTAGAGGAGTAAGGAGAACGTTTAATGCTGCCAACCTCTGCCTATCGTATTCGACCCGATCGATGGTGATTCCGCAATTGAAGGATAAGTTACCTGGTTATGCCACTTCTATGTGTATCTACGAATTCAGCTGCTCCTGTGGAGAAAGCTATATTGGGCGCACTACCAGGCAACTGAACCAACGAGTTAGTGAACACCTCCCTTCAAGGTTAGGAAAAGGTTGCTCCAAAACAATACGCAGCTCGGTTCTATCACACTTGATCGATAGCGGTCATATAGTGGACAGAAGCAAGTCATTCAAAGTTGTTTATCGTATTCCCACTAGTTTTCCTTATGGTGCTCTATCTCGTCTCTTACACATAGCAGAAGCTATAGGAATCCGAGACAACAAGCCAAGTCTTTGTGCTCAGAAGAAATTTGTAACTCCCTTATCTCTCCCTTGGCCTTAAGTAATAAATGAATTTATTTACTTATTTATTCCTTTTCTAACTTTCTCTTTGTTTGTTATTTTTCTTCACCCCCTCCTACCACTTTATTTTCTCTCAACTATACGTTTCATGGTCCAATTATCTGAACATTTCTTATTACGTCATCTTATAATTTTATAATTGTTATCTCAGCTTCCATATTTTTCTAATCACTGACCTATTTCCCACTATGTAACATTGGTTTGAACCTTTATTATTATTGCTTATCAAAACTAATGCACCTGTTGTCACACCATCAATTTGTACTTTTCACATTTTACTTATTATGTAATCGTTTTCATTGTTACTCATTGACTTATAAACTACCTTGATTGGTTTAATAATTCGTATATGCATATAAATATTACTGTATATTAGAGTAAAGCCTGATGAGGATCTAATCGAAAACAATATTGTTCGCTCATATATGTTATTCCATTTCATTGACCCATATTACCTAGATTGGTTTAACATATTCGTATAAATATTCATGTATATTAGAGTGAAGCCTGATGCCGATCGAATTGAAAACAATTGTTCGTTTATATGTGTTGTTCTAATATATATATATATGCTTTGTGGGAAACGGAATAGTTTCACTCCCTACTACCCAATAATACATGCATTTGACCAATTTAAACAAACAAACAAAAGAACAGGCGAATTTTCATGTCTCATATTACAAACACATACTCTAGAAATAACCAAAATCCAATCTCATATTCATCTTAATAAACTAAACAGGTTTATAATTCCAACTTAAACGTTAAAATTATGAAACTAAGGAAAGGGATCTTTTCTCGAAAATTGTTTTTAAAAAAAAGAGATCTCTTCACCAAAATTCATGTTCTTGAATTCATATTATCTATTATTGTCTCTGTTGTTTGAAACAAACTGTACTAGATGTAGGTTTCAGAAGAAATCTTTAACAAATTAGTAAGTTGAACAGTTGAAATCATGAGTCAATTGAAGCTAGACCACCATGGAAAACCCGGAAGCACTGGACGGTGAACTCGTCTTAGTATGGGACTCCTCAGCAGTGCGCATCCACCATCCCACTCTCGGGATCCGAACCCAGGCCATGTCAATCTCACGCGCGAGCGCTTAACCATTAGACCACTGAGCCAGCATCCAATGGTTTTAATGCCTATCTTTTGTGTTATTTTGCTGTTCCAGTTAATTGTTCATCATATTCAGATAATACAATTGATTAAAACAGTTTAATAAGGTTGTTGTTATCCAGATAATCAGTGATATATTAAATAGAATAAGGTGTTCACGTTTACCTATTAATTATTAGTTGCCAAGGGACAACTAATCACATTCCATCTCTCCTATTAATACTGTTTGGATTTGTATATATACGTAGGGCTTTGGCTTTTAGTCTTTTTTTTTGGTAAAAATTCAGACCTTTTTAAAGTTTTCTTATGCCATTGAAATTAATTGTATGATCTAACTCTATTGAGTATAATGCTACCACTGATTCGTTTGCGAACTTTTTTATAGGATCTGAGGATTTAGGAATGTTTTATAACTAAAGTTTGTGCTCCTTCATCCTTATATTCAGTTTTCATTCTTATATAACTTCAAATATAAATTCACTAGTTATTGTTTATTTGTATCTTCCAATTGATGTTTAGGACTTCAGTTGATCAGTTTCATGTTGACATAGCTTCATTTTGTGTGGATGGCCTTGATATAAGCTTAAGTCACAAGCATTATAAAGAAAAATGGATAGTGGCTAGTAGTGGAATCCACGACGCGTGTTTCGTCCTAGTTAGGACTCTTAAGCTGGATATATTCAGAAAAAAAGAACCTACATTAAAATTAGGAAGTACCTATACATTTTTATAAAATTACGATTCTTAGCAAATTCATTGATAGGAAACAATCAACAATACCAAAAGCATCTAATCTCTGTAATACAACTGGACACATTTGATTTCTGATAGAACCCCTATTGTCTAGACATATCTAATTGATTGATAATAAATAGTTCCTGTTTAATGACAGAATAAACAAAACAGTAAATATCTCTATGGAAGAAAATAATAACAATAATCCTTTCAAAAACAAACAAAAATTCACCTAATATTTTTCTTTATTCATATTTTCTTTTTCTTAAAAAAATGAAAAAAAAACAAACAAAAATTTCACTGATTCATTCATTCATTCATTGACTTATGTAGAAATATCTTGATTAAATATGAATTGATTAATTTCTAATTATCAGAAGGGGTTTTGTGGAGATTTTGAAAAATTTCACTGATTGAAATCATGTGTCAATTGAAGCTAGACCACCATGGAAAACCTGGAAGCACTGGACGGTTGTTTCGTTACCAGTGGAGTTCAACCAGGTCTGTTGTGAGATATCAACTCACTGAAGACAATAGTGTACGGTGGTGCAATTTCGTGGATTGGTTGAAGTTAGACATTAACACCGTTGGATGCCGGCTCAGTGGTCTAGTTGGTTAAGCGCTTGGTGCGAGACTGATAGGTCCTGTGTTCGAATGTCGCGAGAGGCGGGATCGTGGATGCTCGCTGCTGAGGAGTCCCATACTAGGACGAAACGGTCGTTCATTGCTTCCAGGTTTTCCATGGTGGTCTAGCTTCAATTGACTCATGATTTCAATCAGTGTAATTTTTAATTATTTGATAAGATAATAGAATTGAATTACATCTATGGTTTATTTCAACGCACTCATAAATGATATAATTTTATCCATAATAAAAATCATGAAATAATGGAAAGTAAATAAATTTTATGTAGAGGAAGAAGAAATCTTTTGAATTAATTAAGAAAAAAACATGGGAGCAATGAAAAGCCATTTTGTTCTGGTATGGGACCGCTTGGTAGTACACATCAACAACTCAGCAAGCAGGACTCAAACCAAGAACCTTCGGTTTCGCGTGTGAATGCTTAACATCTAAAATAACGAACCGGCATCCTGTGCTTGCAGGATATCAATGATGGTCTCACTAAGACTGACTTGTGAATTCAACTATGAAAATACTATAATTAATAAACTTTCATAAAATATACTTTGTTGTAGATGTTGAAAGATTTTATTAACGTAGAATTTGGTTCCCTTATCGTATTCAGTAAATATTATGCCTTCTCGTGGCAGGGCTGTTGTTTACGAAATTGAGAGGATGAAAACCGAATGTCCGGTACTTTAATCGGGATCGTGGATATGAAGGATCTGTCAAGAAGAGTTGGGTAACCCTCATTCTAAACCAATGGTATACATGGGTTTCAGAAAACAAATGGCATATCAACCTATTGTTGGTCATCAGCTACCATGGGCATGCATCTCCTGACGTTGCTCAACTACCTTGTGGATCAGACCTTCAGGTCGAAGGCTCGGGGTGTGGCCCCCTAAGAAAACCACCTGATACGGTTTGGACACCTGGACAGTATCCCAGTTTTCACGCAAATCGAATGATTTATTTGGCGCATACCCATTTGTTGCCTCCTTGAACCAATATTTATGTGTTTAAATAAATAAATAAAGGAAATGTAATTATTCAGTTTAATATGAATTTTAATGAATATTCTCTTATTTTTTATAATGGTCTGTCACACAGATATATTAGCAACAACCAACTGTGGGAAAGAACAAACCAGATCCCAGTAAAGGAAGAAATCAGGAAGAGGCGATTGAAGTGGATAGGATACACATTGAAGAAAGCACCCAACTTCGTCACAAGACAATGCCTCACATGGAATCCTCAAGGCCAAAGGAGAAGTGGAAGACCAAAGAACACATTACGCCGGGAAATAAAGATAAACATGAGAAAAATGAACAAGAATTGGATGGAATTAGAAAAGAAGGCCCAGGACAGAGTGGGTTGGAGAATGCTGGTCGGTGGCCTATGCTCCATTGGGAGTAACAGGCGTAAGTAAGTAACTGTCACACAGAACTATACGAATTCTTGACATCCAAGTGAAGGTGTATTCATTAAATTCAAAGAAGAATAGCTCAGTTAAAAGTTATTTTAGCTCAAACACCTGCAACACTAATATTTCATTTATCTAGTAACATACTTCACCATTTGTGTGTTTTGAATGCAAGCATAATCGTCGTTATACAAGTTCAAATTTCTATTTTACGAAGACAGTTATTTGAGATATTAAGTTTGTATGATGAAGTTACCTTCTGTTATTCAAGTACGAATTTCCAGTGCCTGCTAAACGTTAACAACGAATGTTAATCATCGCCATTCGACGTTGTAGTGTAAATGTACATATTATAACTTTCAAAGGCTGACAATCCTAGATTTAATATGATATCAAGACTGTGTGTTTAATATCTACTTTTTAAAAATGATTTCCTACTTAATCTTAACGTGTATGGAAAATTACACTAGAAAAACTTTAATTAAACCATATCATGAATAGATGTGTTATAACTTGTGAACCTGTGTGCCCTGTATATTGGATAACGCAACGATACCGCAATCAGAGAGCAGCAAAATTATCGATAGAATCAGTGATGCATAAAACACGTGCGAGCAGCCTAGAGTCCTGATTGTTCCCGCTTCCTGTCTAGCCTAGCCAGTTAAGTCCAGAACACCAATCTCAGCCTCTACAATATGAATCATGTATTTCAAACATACTGAGTTTATATACCAATCAAACAGACCACAACGTACCATAAAATAGAAAATAATATTTGTACAAGATTTGGTCAAATGTGGCTGTGAATGGAGGAGATAGTAATTAATAGACAGGCGTTAACTCAAGAATGGGTCAAAACAAAGCTCATAATAAGAGGGACATGAATATGTATAGTTTAGTTACTTAACAATTATACGATAAGAATATACTCATAGTATTGGTCCATAAATGGATCCCAAAAATTACCATTCATTATTCTTATCGGGATATAACAAGATGGATACTGGCTAACAGTGGAATCCAGGACGCGCGTTTCGTCCTATTTGGGACTCGTCATCTGGATGTACCTGCATCTCAGAGTTAGTGTTCGCTCTGAGACTCGAACCCAGTACCATTAGCTTCAAACGACAGTACTGGGTTCAAATCCCAGAGTGAACATCAACTCTGAGATACAGTTACATCCATCTGACAAGCCCCAAATAGGACGAAACGTGCGTCCTGAATTCCACTACTAGGCACTATCGATCTCTCTTCAGAATGCTTGTGACTTAAGGAAATATCGAGGCATTCCGCACAGGACGCACACATGCCAACAAGAGACTGATCAATTGAAGTCCTAAATAACAATGGCAAGGTACCAGTAAAACAACACCAAGTGAACATGTCATGAATACTTCACACATCTGTGTATCAGGCAGTTACTATCAAAAGCGTAAATAATACCTACCAAATCCTGTGTTTATTACAATGATTATTCAAAAATCATAATTGTCAACATTTTATTATTGAAAATTCCAACCAAACAAACATTTGCTACATTAATACATTTAAAATAATTCATTCTTAATGATGTATTTGATAGAATATATCATAGTAAAAGTAGAGTTCTTATTCTATTTTAACGATCACGTTAATACATCAACAACAAAATATCCATTTCTTCACTGAAAATTAGGAAAACTTTCAGCTTATGAATAAACTAATGTCTTTAGTTCAGTTCAAAAAACTAATAAATACTAATGAAATAGTAACGTTGAAAGTAGTATTGATAAAAGGTGATTAAAAACATTTTTTCTGATAATAATTACGTGTCGATAGTTGAAATCATGAGTCAATTGAGGCTAGATCACCATGGAAAACCTGGAAGCACTGGATGGCCGTTCCGTCTTATTGCAGGACTCCTCAGCAGCGCGCATCCACGATCCCGCCTCTCGCGACATTCGAACACAGGACCTATCAGTCTCACGCGCGAGCGCTTAACCATCAGACCACTGAGCCAACCAGCATCCAACGATGTTAATGTCTAACTTCAACCAATCCACGAAATTGCGCCACCGTACACTATTGTCTTCAGTGAGTTGATATCTCACAACAGACCTGGTTGAACTTCGCTGATCACCGCTTCTCAATAGAACTCCAGGAAATGCTTCTTGAAGTCAATTGACTCATGATTTCAACTTTTGAAATTACTAAAAATCTTTACAAAACCCCTTATGATAATAATTACATGTCTTAAATAAGAAATGATTGTCATTATCTCAACTCAATCAATAAAATACAAATCTCTTCAGTTCAAAAGTTTTTCAGAATCAGTAATCAAAATATTATGTAATATATTGCTTCAATATCTCAACAACAACAACAACAACAAAAATCGATGGGACCATAATTTATGGGCGACCTTTGAGAGACTCTAGACTGACCTTGCGAGTGTCCACCCAATAACTAGGACCAAATAAGGGTTATAAAGTAGTGTGAGAAATGAGAATTATAATTGACAGTTTTGGTGATTAAGGTTAGAAATCAGATTTAGAGTTTTCATCATGAACTGACATCAGCTATAATGCCAAAACTCTATTTATCCGGATGGATGAGTGAATTTCGCGCGAAAACTCGAGACCTATTATCTTATACCTGATTGATTCGTCTATAAATTAATCATTTGTAATCGAATACATATTATATTCTATATAATTTACTTACTTTGATAAGTTTATCAATGTAAATTTCTAGACCAGTTAAGTCATCGGTTAATTTTGTTCTTAAATATATTATAAAATATATATAATGCCATACATTATGATCCACTTCAACATGTTCATCAAAGCTTGTATTCGAATGATCAAATGCTGAACGATGTAATCCTGAAATATAAACATTAATATTGAATTGTATTGAAGCATAACAATAATGATGATTCAGTGAAATAAATGAATAGGAATTTCTGTATAATAGGAAATAAGGATGTAATGGATCATTATTGATTTATGATTTGAAACTCTATAGGGAATAAAATGCAAGTGGGGAATTCATCTAACTGAGGAGAGAACAATTTAACTCGGTAAAGCAATTAGAATCCAGTGGTTCATATTTTATTAAAACAACCTTATCCCCTATTTCATTCCCTAATGAGATACTGTTGCTGTCTTTCTTTTTTAAGTTCAATTACTTCGTACATCATGAACAGTCGCTGATAAAACTCTGGTAAAAAATAATCAGGAAACTAGAAACTAGTCAGTATATGATTATTATCATTATTGAGCTATTGTACACAGTTTCAATGCGTGGTATAGCAATGTGTTAACCTCTAGGTCCTATTCTTACTGAATTTTTTCTTGTGAAACTAGAAAATGGACCACTCAAAGATGTTATCGATAAGCTTGACTCCTATTGTCGTAACGTTGATGACACTTTCATTATTGTCAATCGGAGCATTGGAAAAGAAGAACTCTTAGAATTATTTAACAACAAACATTCAGTAATTAAATTTACATGTGTAGAGGAACTAGATAATAAACCAATTTTCCTTGAAGTTTTGTTAAACAGAAAAGAAAACGTATAATTCACTTGGTATTGTTTTACTTGAATCTTCCCATTGATGTTTTAGGACTGAAATTGATCAGTCTCTTATTGACATATGTGCATACTGTGTGTATGCCTCGATATTGCATTAATTTACAAGCATATAAGCAAAGATGGATAGTGGATTCAACTACTAGCCACATATGCCAATAAGAGACTGATCAATTTCAGTCCTAAAACATCAATGGGAAGATTCAAGTAAAACAATACCAAGTGAATTAAACTTTACCCCATTGCACAAGTAAGTGGCTATCAGGACTCAGTAGCTAAGTGGATAACGCGATGGCGTCTGAAGCGGACGGTACTGAGTTCGAGTCCCAGAGTGGACATCAACTCTGAGATGCAGGTACATCCAGCTGACGAGTCCCAAACAGGACGAAACGCGAGTCCTGGATTTCACTGCTAGCCAATATCCATTTTTGCTTAGAAAAGAAAACGGTTCTATCATTAGAAATGTGTGTAGAAAAAGCTCTTCATCAAGGCAATGAACACATCTCTTAAGCTTTGTACACCTTCATTATAAGAGAAACTTAGTCAAATGTCATGCAAATAGAGCTAGGAAGAAATGCTCAGTCGATACAATCAACAAAGAATTACAGCTCATACATAATATGTTGATTGAAATGGGTTATGCACAAGGTTTCCTAAAGAAACACATGCTTGTAAGAAACAATCAAAATGGCGACGTCAAAGGCTAGTAAGAAACCTCTCTTCTTGAAGCTGCAATTCAATGGAGATGTAGCTGGTGATATACTACGTGATAAACTGACTGGAGCACTAAAGAGAACGTTTAATACAGCCAACCTCTGTCTATCGTATTCGACCCGATCTATGGTGATTCTTCAACTAAAGGATAAGTTATCTGGTTATGCCACTTCTATGTGTATCGACGAATTCAGCTGCTCCTGTAGAGAAAACTGTATTGGGTTCACTATGCGACAATTGAAACAAAGAGTTAGTGAACACCTCCCTTCGTGGTCAGGAAAAGGTATTATCATGACAATACGTAGCTCGGTTCCACCACACTTGATCGATAGCTGTTATGTAGTAGACAGAAATAAGTCATTTAAAGTTATTTATCGTATTCCCACTAGTTTTCCTTATGCGGTTCGATCTCGTCTCTTACAAACAGCTATAGGAATTCCAGCCAATAATCCAAGTTTTTGTTTTCGTAAGAAATTTATCTCTCCCTTGCCCTTAATAAATGATTTTATGTATTATTGTTTTCCACACTCTTCGTTTGTTTATTATTCTTCATCTCCTTTTTTTCTTTTTTTTAAATGTACACTTCAGTTGCCAACTACCTGACACACTTCTTATTACGTAATCCTATAACTATTTTATGAATGTTATTTCAGTGACTACATATTTTTCAAGTCATTGATCTATCTCATATTATGAAACATTATAGCCAACTTTTATCATTCTTATCACAACTAGTACACTCGACATCCTATTATCAATTTGTACTTTTCACTTATTATGTTTATTTATGTAATCTAATCCACTATTATCATTGACTCATAAACTGCTTTGATTGGTTTAACAATTTCATATATGCATATAAATATTGTGGTGTGCGCTACTTATATACACATAAGTAGTATATAAAGGTAGTCAGATATAGAATGTATTTCAATAGAAGATCGAGAACGAAAGATTGGGAATGGAAAGTAATGGGTATGAAAATGCATAAACAATCAAATTTTACAAAAATAACTATTTACTGTATGGTTCTCAGATTTTAGTGAGATATTCTGTAATTACGTGTTCAAACACATTCGTTTGTAATAATAATTGATTGATCACTGGATGGTGATCATTGTCGTGTGTGTCAAGTCCTTATTAGTGCAGATCGACCAAGTTGCAATGTGGCCACAAGTCTAGGTGACTCGACACTGCATGCACAATGTTGAGATTAGATGATGGTTGGAGGTAGTCGACAGGAAATCCTGGACCCGGGTTTCATGTTACTTGGCACTCATCATCAAGGTGTACCTGTAATCTTGAGGGAACTGATGCTCCCTGACGGATTTGATCCCTTGTCACTCAGCTTTACAGTCACATAAAATTAGGAATTTTTCAAACTATAATTTTTTTTACTTACCACAAACACAACAATGATTTTTATTTAATTCTTCAGAATTTTGTTTCTCTTGACGAAGTGCAGCAAATGTATCCACAATCACACCAAATATCAAATTCAATATAATAACAATAACAATAACAAAAAATGATAAATCATAAATTGTTCGAAAAAGAAATGAAGCATCCTATTTAAAACAAGAGAAAAAAACAAGAAAGAAGAGAACAATGATCGTAGAGATAAATGTAAAAAAAAAACACTTAGTTACATTGATAATAACAAACATTTATTATAACTACTATACATCGAATCTTGTGAGGTGGGATCGTGGATGCACACTGCTGAGGAGTTCCACAATAGGACGAAAAAACAACCGTCCAGTGCTTCTAAGTTGTTCATGGTGGTCTAGCTACAAATGATTCATGATCTCAACTATTAAAATATTATTAATATACATTAAGTAAAATATAATAATTGTTATGAAACAGAATATAAACTACTTTCTACCAATAATTAACCTTGTAAAATTAAATCGTTAAGAATTTGTAGAAAAAAATACGTATATAAATTGACAGACTAATACTCACTATCTTCTCGTGGCGAGGGTATTGCTTACGAAATTGCAAGGATAAAAAGCGAATGTCTGACGCTTTAACCGAGTTGATAGACACGGAGAGTTCACCTAGAGGAGTTGGAAAACCCTGATTCCGAACCAATGGTATACATGGGCTTCAGGATCCTAAGGAAACAAATGGTATATGAACCTATTGTTGGTTACCAGCTACCATGGGACTGCATCTCCCGACGTTGCTCCATTGCCTTATAGATTAGACCTACGAATGTTATCCCCTAAGAAAACCACCTGATTTGGTTTGGACACCTGGGCACTATCCCAGCTCTCACATAAATCGAATGGTTAATATTGGCACATATCTATTTTTGTTACCTCACTGTACGATTGTTTATATGTTTAAATCAATAAGTCAAACATTAAACAGTTGGTTTAAAAAAATCACCATTCCATTTATTCATTACAAAAAAAAAGAAACCTAATAGTGTTTATGTGAATAAATTATCAAACGATTTATATTTGTTGCTATAGACTGTCATGATAGTTTTTTTTCTTTTTTTTTGGTAAATAAATGTCAATGAATAATGAGATTTTTGTAATATATATTTCCGATTAGTAGAAACATTCAATTACTAACGATACAACAATCGAGTGTAAATTGATTTATTGGAAAGTGAAGTCATTTTCTTTTTTTTCCTTTTTTCTTTTTTTTTTCTTTTTTTTTTAAAGATTAACCTACATTGAAATAATATAAGGATCAAAACAATATACAAACAAGTTTGACAATAATAATAATAATGATAATGCTGTATTATCCAAATGATCAAAAGTGATCTTACTTGTGGTTATGGAAATTGTGACATTTATTGTATGTGAATGAGAAAATTAATTAATGTATGTGTTGAGATTTGAAAAGGTTATCATTATCTACATAGAAAGATATTAAAGGTCAATTGGATAGTTATGCTAATATTTTGAAAGGTAAAATATGTGTATTGATAATGAATATGATACATTTGTGTTCTTAATAGAGTGGATTATTCGAGTTTATTACTGATCCATTAGAGAGTGATGACACTTGATCAAATAGATGTTCATGAAGTATCAATTAGTTAGTCAGTTAACAAAACTGTTTCAGTTCAATTATATTCATATTCAAAGGCATATTTAACAAACGAAACAAACTGAATAGTAATTATTAACTCCTTATCTACAATCGGTTCTAACTTAATGATATTCGTATTGTGGGACTTTCGAGTGTTTTTCCAATTCTATGTGATAAAAAGGCCTCAACATATACAAGGGGAAAACCAAAGCCCTCAAATACAACTCGGAAATCAGCAATCCGATCACTCTTGATGGAGAAACTCTGGAAGATGTAGAGTCCATCACATACCTGGGAAGCATAATCGATGAACAAAGAGGCTCAGATGCAGATGTAAGGGTGACGATTGGCAAAGCAAGGGCCGCATTCCTTCAATTGAAGAACATATAGAACTCAAAACAACTGACAGCCAATACCAAAGTGAGAATCTTCAGTATGAACGTCAAGGCAGTTCTCCTGTATGGAGCTGGAGCTTGGAGAACTACAACAACCACCATCAAGAAGGTACAAGTATTTATAA